TGGTCCTACATACTGAGACGGTCAGATCAGGAAAACTAGACACGTGTTCTTTGTTTTGTATTTATAACTGAAATATGAATAAATATGCAAACTACGAACTCGATAGATAATGATACAGAAGTTCACACATAGTGACCGTTGGTGTGAGGAGAAGAGGTGGGGCTAAAATGAGAGGGGAGCGGAGGGAAGGGGGAGATGAAATAGCCAAAGGACATAGTGCGTTTACTGGTCATCCGACCTGACTGTCAGATTTCATGGTATAAATCACAAACGATGTAAAAATCCCAAGAGAGTGAAAGTTACAGCTATGATAAAACACCTCGATCTTTTCCTGCAAAGAAACCAACAGGGACAGTTTTCCACCAAGCTGTTTAATTACAATTTCCCTATTGTGAAGCAGCAATATGCATCCCCAATCTATTGTGTTTACATGTCGTATTGATTCGATATTCAAAGATTTGCTCCCAACATCACGATTTTCGGGCAAGATGTTGGGAACTGACAATCTCATAAGACAGGGTTTTGAAAGTCATAATCATAGTCATAATAATCTCTCTACTATTTCTACTTCTTTGTGTGATAAAAAATGGATGTTTTTAATACTCGTTAGCATGCCTAGTGGTTCCGTTGATGTTTGGGAAAGTGACATTCGATATTACTACGTCATGGGATTGACCAAAATGTATATTCCGTGTGTCGTTGGGGAACTAGTATACGCTTACCCTTTCGGAACACGTGGCTTTATTCTATTGTACTTTTTGTAAGAGTCTGTTTCTTTCTCTTTTTCTATATTTTCATTAAATTTGCGTTTGAATTAAGATCATATTGACATGCAGGTAATTTGTTGTTTCAAAAACTCGATGATACATTCTCGCCTAAATATGACAATTAAAATGGTTTTATTTACAAAATAAAGAAGAAGTGGGTTTATCTCAATATCAAACATCTGACGATTTAAGCTATCTAGTTTTAGTGTATAATGAGGTTAATCACAGACATGCGAATCCGACACAATGAACCTCACTATGATTGATAACAATATCATTAATATTCCAGAGGTTTAGATCAATTAGGATGTTCGATAAAAATGATGATCCAAGGGTTAAAAGTGGTCGCCATGTTTAAAAATCGACTCGAGTCACTTTCCCTGCAATCAAATTGACATTGTAATCGGTGTGCAAAAACATCTGTACTGTTGGGGAAAACTTACATTTTTATATAGTTTCCAATATATTTTTTACACATTAGTTGTTAATCTTTTCCTATAGGATTAAAAAAATTATAGTACATTGTTAGTTCCATTTATCTAGTATACGGTTTAAAAGAAGACAACATGAACTTTGAAGTATGAAGGGGAATAACTCTTCCGACAGTCTATATAATCTAGCCGTCTCGCTTTCTGTCCGTTTTACTTATTATTTACGAAACATTTGAAAACAAGCTGAATTAAATTATGTGTATTGATTTTTGTCGTCAGTGTAGATCGTGCTCTTGTCAAAATCAAATTACTTATTTCTGATAAGTAAATTTAGTCACGGACGGTATCACGGCTTCTCATTGCTGACCCAATCGCGTGCCTTCATTTAGTCGTTACATCTTGTGAGAGTTTACAATCAAACAATGAAATTTTGTGTCATAACTTTTGATGACACTAGAGACGAATATCACGTGTTATATCAATTTCGTATGATACTCTCCTATATATAGTTTCAAATGTATAGTAGATGAGGTTAATATATTCAGTTTAACACGGACATAAATGTAAGATTTTAGTTCATATACACATAAGACATTGCTTATTACTATACCCGCTAAACATTGTAGGAAATGTATTGTTGTTGTATGACATAAACACTATGAACACCCATTCTCAGATATGTCACTATTCGAAATATGTAAAAAGTAATGATAACACCTCTGATGCTTTTCGACGATATTGAAGACTTGTCTGTGGTATTGAAAACTTGTCTATGGTATTGAAGACATGTCTATGTATTGAAGACTTGTCTGTGGTATTGAAGACATGTCTGTTGTATTGAAGACATGTCTATGGTATTGAAGACTTGTCTGTGGTATTGAAGACTTGTCTTTGGTATTGAAGACATGTCTATGTATTGAAGACTTGTCTATGGTATTGAAGACATGTCTATGTATTGAAGACTTGTCTGTGGTATTGAAGACATGTCCATGGTATTGAAGACTTGTCTATGGTATTGAAGACTTGTCTGTGGTATTGAAGACTTGTCTATGGTATTGAAGACATGTCTATGTATTGAAGACTTGTCCGTGGTATTGAAGACATGTCCATGGTATTGAAGACTTGTCTGTGGTATTGAAGACTTGTCCGTGGTATTGAAGACTTGTCCGTGGTATTGAAGACTTGTCCGTGGTATTGAAGACTTGTCCGTGGTATTGAAGACATGTCCATGGTATTGAAGACTTGTCCGTGGTATTGAAGACTTGTCCGTGGTATTGAAGACTTGTCCGTGGTATTGAAGACTTGTCCGTGGTATTGAAGACTTGTCCGTGGTATTGAAGACTTGTCCGTGGTATTGAAGACATGTCCATGGTATTGAAGACATGTCCATGGTATTGAAGACATGTCCATGGTATTGAAGACTTGTCTGTGGTATTGAAGACTTGTCTGTGGTATTGAAGACTTGTCCGTGGTATTGAAGACTTGTCTGTGGTATTGAAGACATGTCCTGTGGTATTGAAGACTTGTCCTATGGTATTGAAGATGGTATTGAAGACTTGTCTATGGTATTGAAGACATGTCTATGTATTGAAGACTTGTCCGTGGTATTGAAGACTTGTCCGTGGTATTGAAGACATGTCCATGTATTGAAGACATGTCCATGGTATTGAAGACTTGTCTGTGGTATTGAAGACATGTATATGTATTGAAGACTTGTCTATGGTATTGAAGACATGTCCATGGTATTGAAGACTTGTCTATGGTATTGAAGACATGTCTATGTATTGAAGACTTGTCTGTGGTATTGAAGACTTGTCTGTGGTATTGAAGACTTGTCCGTGGTATTGAAGACTTGTCTGTGGTATTGAAGACTTGTCCGTGGTATTGAAGACTTGTCCGTGGTATTGAAGACTTGTCTATGGTATTGAAGACATGTCTATGTATTGAAGACTTGTCTGTGGTATTGAAGACATGTCTATGTATTGAAGACTTGTCTGTGGTATTGAAGACATGTCCATGGTATTGAAGACTTGTCTATGGTATTGAAGACATGTCTATGTATTGAAGACTTGTCTGTGGTATTGAAGACTTGTCTTTGGTATTGAAGACATGTCCATGGTATTGAAGACTTGTCTGTGGTATTGAAGACTTGTCTGTTGTATTGAAGACATGTCTATGGTATTGAAGACTTGTCTGTGGTATTGAAGACATGTCTGTGGTATTGAAGACTTGTCTATAGTATTGAAGACTTGTCCATGGTATTGAAGACTTGTCTGTGGTATTGAAGACTTGTCTGTTGTATTGAAGACATGTCTATGGTATTGAAGACTTGTCTGTGGTATTGAAGACATGTCTGTGGTATTGAAGACTTGTCTATGGTATTGGAGACTTAACTTTGGCCTTGGAGACTGTGGCCTTGAAGACTTAACTGCGGCCTAGCGAATTAACCGTGGCCTTGAGACTGTGACCTTTGAGAATTAACTGTGGCCTTGAGACTTTGACCTTGGAGATTTAACTGTGGGCTTGGAGACTGTGGTCTTTGAGACTTAACTGTGGCCTTGGAGACTGTGGTCTTGGAGACTTAACTATGACATTGAAGACTGTTGCCTTGAAGACTTAACTGTGGCGTTGGAAACTTAACTGTGGCCTTGGAGGCTTAACTATGGCATTTGAGATTGTGGCCACGAAGGCTAAACTCTGGTGTTGACGACTTCATCGTGGTTTTCACTTATCTGTGATCTTGAAGGCTTATCTCTGGCCTTAGAGGCTAACCGTGGCCCAAGAGACACATCTTCACACATCTAACATTGTATGTTTCTAAGTGACACAAATAGCACCGTCGAGATGATGTAGAATTACTTACTGTAACGGAGAAAACATAGGCCCCTTGTCCTCGTCTCCTCGTCTCCTTCTCCTCGTCTCCTTGTCCTCGTCTCCTCGTCTCCTCGTCCACCTCAAATTATCTTAAGTCACAAATCATACTGTATATTTAAACCATGATGTCATTGATTATTTTACTTAATCTACAGTTGATCTAACAAGATACAAATTCATAAACATATTTTCAAGATAAATTCTAAAATTTCGTTTTTTTTTCCTTTTTTTAATGGATTCCAATGCGGGGTGTATTTGTCTATAGTCCGTTATTTATTCAATTTCTTATGATTTATCTTATTTATTTAATTTCATTTTAAATCCCGGTTCATCGCAGCCACCTCGGCGAGTCGGTTGGAATAAATCACCTAGAGTTACCTCCACTTTAGCGTCATTGGTATCCACCGTTAGATGTCATGAACGTTCACCGAGCACCTTGCAAAGAATATAATTCTATTACCAATTTAACTAAATATCTTCTTAAACTAGTTATTTATTTAAGAACATATTCTCGTAATCAAATTCAAATTAGTTTGTGACCCAGATGTGCTGTCAAAATGATTATTGTGCTGTAATTTAATCATTTATAATCTTACATTCCGCGTAGGAATTTCTGCTCATAGGTCAAAGGTCAACGATGCTCATGTCAGCCAGTCGGTGTTACCTGAAAACTGATATTTGTGTGTGACCGTGTGTGACAGCGTCTATGTTTCGGTTATGTGAGATTTTCACGTGCTATTATTTTGTTTCTGATATTTCCGAATGGATTACATAATTTTCCAAGGAAAGGATTACTTTGATATGTAGTTTTCGTTATTGTTGACGCTCCGGTATTCGTCACAATGGAGTTAGTTTGTAAAATTCAACATGTCTCATGTGAATTTTACACTTTGTTAAAATTGAAAAGAAATGCATGATCAGGCAGGCTATTACTAAGAATGTCTGCCGCTAAAAGCGTTATGGAGACTCCACTCGTGTTATGGGTAAGGCTCGTTTTTTTCCTTGCAATGTCCTGAATTAATTTGAAAGGTTTTGTTTGTTTATGACCTGATCTAAGCACAGGTGTGTTTTCTTTTTTGCAGGTGGAGTCTTTCAATCAAGGTAAATCTGTCGAGTATGCCGACTTGTACAATGGGATATTCCTGAACGATGTCATGCAGCAGATGTAAGTGTCCTTCTCCTGTCAACAATTAATTAATTATTATTTATGAACTGCACTTAAAAGTCTGACTAGTTTACATGTAAATACATGTTACATTCTTAGGTATAGATCCACTTATAAAAGAATATTGTTATCAGATTAAACTCGAGATAACCCATACTTCGGATAATCAAACCAATGTGTGGTTTTTTGTGATTTAAAAGTGTTCATTAAATACCATACAGTGCCTTCATTGTTGGAACATATTTGACATTTTTTTTTATATCTTTTAAATGTATCTTTTAAGATAATGAACATGTAATGTCAATTGATTATACCAGTAAATTACATAAACAGATAAAGATCACTGTATTAGGGCTAAATGATTCCCCCCAGGTATTACACCTTTGTTTGTATAGAAGGTGTTAGACTGGAGGGCGTGTCATACAAATACATAATGGAATCAATTAAGAGGTCATGAACTTGTAGTTTAATTAACTGTAGTTAATTGTAAAGGACTGAAATCTTTAACTAATACACTACATAACCTGTGCATGCAGACATGCAGCACAAAAAACATTTTAAAAAATGAGATAGAACCTAGACGTTTGTAAGTGCCTTGGAGAGTTTTGAGGTGCAGTAGCATCCCTCTAAGCCATATAACCATTTGTTCATCCACGCTCATCATGTTGGTGAAGAAATAACAAAAATATTCATTTTTATAATCTGTTTTGCAAAAGACATTGCAAAAAAAAATTACCCCATACTTTCAATCAGAGGTTGTGTTGGTGTCTTGCTGAAAGATGATAAGTTATTGATTAATTCAGACTTTTTTCAAAGTTTTTGAAACATTGAATTTTTTTATGGGGAATTCAAATAATAAAGAAAATCAATGGTTGGACAGTTTGTATGATGTTATGGGAGGAAAAAGTGCATTAAATTAAATTAAGGTGACCCACATGGTGTTTACCTTGTACCCTGATGAGGTCACATATAGTAAATACTGTGTTAGAGCTGTGGAAGTGCTGATAATGTTTGGTACTTTATGATTCATGCAGTTTTAGATTAACTGTGAAGGCAAGCAAATAACTCTTTCTTAAAGACTTGATGTTCTATAAAAACACTTTAGTTTGGTTTAAACATACAACTTGTTTCCTGTTGACTGTTTGGTGAGTTGGTCACTTTCCGTTCCTACCTGTGTATATACATATAATAAACACTTCAGAGGCGATATGTATGAATTAAACTCTAACTTTTTTTTTATCTTTGTCACGATATCAACCGCAGCAAAGACAAAAAACTAAATCATGGATAGTGTTGTATATGAAAATATTGATTATCACATTTTTTTAATACTTTATCATATATAAGACATAATTGATCTCATATCTTAAGTTAAATTTTATCCTGTAAAATTTTCATGTTTTAATCAAACTTAATACACACGTGCATCTTAAATGTGTTTCTGAAGATGATAGATAAGATTTAATTATGTAACCAAGTAGATGAGGCCAGTATCAAATTATAACGGGGAAAAAAGCCCTGGAATAACGCGAGATCTGACATATGTGTGTTGTGTGTAATTGTGAAGATACCTTGATGTATTATGGAAGGCCCTAAATCTGGATGTAACCATTTAACAAAGAATGCTGGCCATTATCAAAATACCATAACTAATGCTTAATCACCCACACATAGTTATAGACGTTATTCAATTAGGGAAGACTTAATCAAATTTTGTTCTTAAGGCAACATGATAAAATTTGTTTTTAGTAATAGTTTTCCAACTAATTATATATATATATAAGCCTATTCAAAGCAAGTCCATAAGTATTTTGACAGTTTATATTGCACAAAGTTTTCTGAAATCCTTGTGTAGATAACTTACTAGTGGTCATTTTAATATGAAAATATTAGAACCATAGAATTTGTTTGATTTGACCCAACTTCCACACTTCATCAAAGAAAACTCAGCAAGACTCCATTCTCATTCTATGATGATTGATAATTTTGTTATCATAAATCAAGGATTAGTTTGTTGTTGATGTTGATGAAATGTTTTTTGAACCATGATACCTATATGTTTATGGTGCTAGTGTATGTATTTTTCTGGATTTACCTGGTAAAGTAATACAGAATCGGACTGAAACACTACATTACAGGACAGTTTAAAGGGTCACTTGATATCCACAAATTCTACCACATTTAAATGTAGCTGATGTTTGTACAAGTATGTTAAACTTGTTGGTAGATAAAAGTGATTTAATGACAATATGATGGTGTAAGGGGTGTGATCTTGTCATACATTTTTACCCTAAAATGAAATCATCACTCTCAAAATTTGATATTTAAAATTTTTTATTGATTTTTTCATATTTTCTAACATCCAATTTGTAGTAGTATCATATTTCAAAAGTGAACAAGGAAATAAAGGTTTAGAAACATTTCAAGCTGTGATGAGTTAAGATATAAAATCGTAAACATGTTCTGTACTGTTGGATGTATGTTTCAAATATTAATACGATTACTGATGGATATGCTGAAGGTTTGGTTTTACACATCTTTAATGAAAGAACTGCACTACCTCCATGGTTCAGAGACTGTATTCAATTTACATGTGTTGTGATGGCCATGTTTAATGAAGATGCCGCCATGCCACGGCTTGTCTAATAGTAATGATGCCGCCATGTGTGGCCGCTGATCAGACCATATGTTTTCACTGACAGCTTACAAAACTGTTTGATACACGTATGCACGCATGTAAACAGAAAATTCTTGTAATAGTTCACATGCACTTCTGTCTCTGGGTTTTACACTTAACTAATTGATAAAGTTGCTAATTCTCAATATAATATAATTCAACTTTTATCACATTTTGTACATTTCATAAGATTTAAAAGAAAACACCTGATAAGAATTCCGGAGTATTTTAACTAATTGCCCCTAAATGTGTGTCAGTAGTATTACACTGGGTAAATACATCCATACCGCAATACTATGGACTTTCATGTTTAGATATTATCAAAATTTCAAAAATAATCATGAAAATTAAATTTCCTCTCTTATGATCTAAATGGACCTCAAGTCACAGACTGTGATATAAATGTCTCCATTTGTATGTCTACATAAATATTACACTAAAACTCTCAGAGGTATCAACAAAAAGCTTTATTAGTAGATACATATGAACAATAGCATTGCAGTATACAAGCTTTTGCATGATTTAGGAGTTATTGCCCTTTGCTATTTTTCATACTTAAATTTTGTCCCATTTGGGGAGCATAATTTATCTCTTACAGTCCATGTGTTCTTTATGAACAGACTCCCCTTTTGGATGTGACATGGCAGTGCATGTGCTTTACACATGTGATTCTGCATGTACCTCTCTTCATACCCAGATGATTCACACACATGCTAATTCTATTGATGTTGACAATCGTAATTGGGATTTCAAAGGTCACCATGCTGTAGAACAACAAGTTGATAACGGGAGGTTCTCTAGTGTGTTTGTCTGGGACTTATCACAGATATATATGGTTGTACATGTCAGTAGAAAAGTCTCATTGACTCGTTATTTGTTGAAGTTCATGCCTGGTGTTTTATTAGTTGTTATGTAACTTTGAACGCTATTAATTGCACAAATGCATGTGTAAATCCATGATTTGTAGAAAAAGTTGTATTTATTTCATCTTTAAAAACACCTCTTACTATATTTTATTTCACTCTTTAGTGATCAAAAAAAAAATGTTTATACAAATTCAAATTAAAAGAGAAAAACGCCTCAAATATATATATGTATTTTAATCCATAACAGCTAATTTACTGAAGTAGCTATAAAGCTATAGACATACATGTTTAAACTGCAATAAAAAATCTGGATTAACCTTGAGTTATAAATTACTAGGCTGTAGTTAGGTTTACATTCAGCAGTGTTGTGTCTGTATACACTGTCTATAGCTGTATGATATATTAGTTGATTTACAATAGGAAATAAAGTCTTTGTGTTTTATATTTAACAAAGACAATGACATGATGGTAATATATGTAGAAATTTCCTGCTGTGTGTATATACAGCCTTGAGAATCAGAGGCTGTTAGCTGAAGCCTTAGTATCACAGCAGGAACTGAACATCTTTTTCATTGCTTCTGGCATTCCTACTTATTTAGTGCTGTTGACCACTCCAATTATAGAAGTTATAGGAGATTGAAATGCTTCCTTGGGGATATCAGAAGTTGTCTTTGGGGTCAAAGGTGAAGGAGGGAGTTCACGTCACCTTACTAGTCTTGACTGGTGGGGCTTTGAATTTTACTTGAGTGTCCATCTCGAGACTGAAATGTCGCTAGTTTGAGCCTCAGTGGGGACAAAGTATTTCTTACTTCTTCCCAGTTCTTGTTGGTCAAGGCAAGGTAAAATAGATAAAAACCTTGGATTTGAAAATTATTATACTTGTACTTTTATGTATTTCATTGACAAACTTTGTATCCTACACATCGACCTGCTATATCAGATTTAGATTCAAGTGGGTAAGACTGTAGTATCTCATTTCTTGAGAAGCATTTGGCTAAATAACTGTACTGTTATATATTTTACCTGACCACATCCACTTGAGGTTTGTAGGTATGTAGTGGTCAGTGGGCTGGAAAGTTCATACCAGTATTTCAATGGCACTTTTTATTGATAAGGTTTTATCGTTCCCTTATCCTGGTTCCACTCACAGGCTACCTTTTAATTTACCTGGTAAAGTCAGGTGTATATAAAGGTTATCAATTCATCACACGACATCATGTCTTAATTTGTATAGATCCATTATAGACGATTAGGACAGATTCTCCAATCATATAAATATTGACATTAATAGATATTGAAGGACAAAAAACAGAAATAACTGTTTATGATAGACATTTTTTCAACGTGAATAAAGGTCATTATAAAACCTGCTGGTCTTTCAATTTACTGGGACAGAATTTCACCAAGAGTTACACAAATAAGCACAAAAACTCAAAGAATTTCTGCAAAATGATTTTTCGTTAATATATTTTAGTCTCCGAATCAGAGCTAAGTATGTTAAGTTGCATTCATTTAACAAGCTTATATTTATTTTCTGGTAGTTTGAACAAATTAGAGATAAAAAATTTCAGTCTCATATTTCTTCTAGTTCTTAATGAATTCACGATTCCAGAATCATCCCTGAGATTGGCCATAATGAAATATGGTGGTTAGAAGCTCCAGGTTAACATCTGCAGGTATAATGACATTTAAACTAAAAATAATTTTATGAAATAATCCATCAGGTGGAAATAAAGAAGGGATTGTTTGAAATTGTGAATTGATTCAAAACACACATTTGATTGTTTTGGCCTAATCCATGTTATTGAGTAGAAACAAACATACCTTTTTTTAGCTAAAAGCTGTCTATAATTGTATAGTAACAGTGAATGAAAGGTTACAATTCTGCAAAGTACTAGTTTTATCATCAATTAACTCTCTCTGTAGTGATATTGTATGTAGGATCAATTATATTGATACTGTAACAATAATGTATGAACTGTGACACATCTATAACATGTTAAATACCTCAGCATGCATGTCAGTTGTGACCTACAATGGAGAACAGGCACAAACGGAAATGCTTTGTATGTAATAATCAATGGCTGGAATTATTTATGGTATCTTATTACGTGCTTGATCAACTCGGGCCAATAGCTATTGCACGTTATTATAAATATCATTGATTTATTTTGTGCATGTTTGTCAATATGTTATCTAGACAAGAGTTATCTGCCCTTGATCATTTTAATTTTTGACAGAATTGTCTGCCCTTTACAATGTTTCCAACCTCATAGTTGCTATCTAATGTCATAGCCCTTTGAGATCATAGACTGTTAAGGGAATGTATTATCAAATTTTTTGTACAGTTATCACATCCTGTTGGGACTTACTAAAATTTTGAGGGCCCATGGCCACTGTATCTCTTAGTAATAGGACTCAAATTTTTTGGAATGGTATTGTGGACTCGCCTACAAAAAATACTTAGTCATCTGTATCAATTTTTGATGAAGATTTAAGACTTAATTAGATCCAAAGTTGATTTTGAAATGTTAAATACTGATTGAAAGGAAAGTTATTTCAGGTGAATCTAGCAGTTTTCACAAGGTCATGATAATGAATCAATATCAACATGACCTAACAAAATCCTGTCAGTTGGCAAAGCTATCTTCATTAACTTGGTTTTTAGCAGAGTTGTCTACCTTTCATTTAAGTGGTTTTGATAAGATGATCTGCACCTAATGTGATGTAGAAGGAGTTGATCATGTATCATTAATTGGTTAGGATTTAGAAATTTAAGTCCTGGACTCAACCTTACCAGAGGGAGTCTGGAACTCACTCAAATTTTGTGATCCCATATGCACTATATCTCTAAGTATTTAAAATATTGGTTTTCATTTTTTAAAACTTGCCTTGAAATAATCATACAAAATGTGTATGGAATGTTATTAGTGTAGGGTATATGTGTTGTACCCTGAGGAAGAACAAGGTAATTTTTCAGCTGTAATGATTGAGTGAAGCTATATCATCGATTATTGACCAAATAATGTCAACTATGCTTGTGTGATCAACAACTTGCAAGGTCAATGGGATTAGAGTTAAAGAACACAAGGTCAAACACGGTTAGAGAAAAAGAACGCAAGGACAAACAGGATTAGAGAAAAAGAACACAAGGTCAAATGGGTTAGTGAAAAAGAACACAAGGTCAAACAGGATTAGAGTTAAAGAAGACAAGGTCAAACAGGATTAGAGAAAAAGAGCACAAGGTCAAACGGGGTTAGCGAAAAAGAACACTAGGTCAAATGGGTTAGAGAAAAAGAACACAAATTCAAACAGGATTAGAGTTAAAGAAGACAAGGTCAAACAGGATTAGAGAAAAAGTGCACAAGGTCAAACGGGGTTAGTGAAAAAGAACACAAGGTCAAATGGGATTAGAGAGAAAGAACACTAGGTCAAATGGGTTAGAGAAAAAGAACACAAGGTCAAATGGGTTAGAGAAAAAGAACACTAGGTCAAATGGGTTAGAGAAAAAGAACACAAGGTCAAATGTGATTAGAGTAACAGAACACAAGGTCAAACGGGATTAGAGTAACAGAACACAAGGTCAAACGGGATTAGTGTTAAAGAACACAAGGTCAACCGGGATTAGAGTAACAGAACACAAGGTCAAATGGGTTAAAAAAAAAGAGCACAAGGTGGATTAGAGTTTAAGAACACAAGGTCAAATGGGGTTAGAGAAAAAGAACACAAGGTCAAACGGGATTAGAGAAAAAGAACACAAGGTCAAACGGGATTGGAGAAAAAGGACACAAGGTCAAATGGGTTAGAGAAAAAGAACACAAGGTCAAACGGGATTATAGTAACAGAACACAAGGTCAAACAGGATTATAGTAACAGAACACAAGGTCAAACAGGATTAGAGAAAAAGAACACAAGGTCAAATGGGTTTAGAGACAAAGAACACAAGGTCAAATGGAATTAGAGTAACAGAACACAAGATCAAATGGGGTTAGAGAAAAAGAACACAAGGTCAAATGGTTTAGAGAAAAAGAGCAAAGTAGCCGACAAGTATCCTTTTGTATGTAATGGAATTGATCCTGGGATCACGTCAACCCACAAAAAATTGAGACATGATTACTGGTCAAGGTTCTTTCCCCTTCTATATATCTATTACCTTACCCCGCTACACCTGTTTGATGTTTACCTGCATGGATGAAATATTCTAAATAACCTTTTATTCATTGACATTTGCAGTGATCCTCGTCCGACCAATCAGAGTGTAAATCGTCATGTGGACGATGTGGATGCACGGTTACATAACTGGGATCTTCTCCTCCGAAACATTAGAGGTTACTATGTGGTACGTATACACTGTGGGGTCTACATTTCAATATCAGGGGCCAACAACATGGATGATCCACGCCTAAATCTTCTTGAGCTGTTTTTATATGGAAAATTGAAAAAAACCTACCATTTACTTAATACTTAACATGAAAATCATTTTGTTTTGTTTTGTTTCTTGTTTTGTTTCTTAACTTCTGTCAAATTGATTATACCTGAGACATGAATTTGAAATTCTACATCTCAGCAGTTTGGACCTGAGTCAAATTCTTTATTTATAAACACAAAATCTACCCTCACCTAATATCACATTGATCTTGTATTTTGTGGAATGTGACCCAGCTGTCCATTGTTATTAGTACCGTCTTTGATGTATTCCGTGACACTCCCTTTATCACCACGAGAAACATGTCCGTACAGAAATAAGGATATGTATTTAGTCAACATTAGCTCTTTGAGTACTATATAAACCTGTATTATATAATTATCTTTTGTTATGGAAGTCTTAGTGACACAGAAAAAATGAATATCTCAGTGGCCAAGATCCTTCGCAGATTAAAATCCTCAAGTACATCTGGAAATATATACATAACAGTATTTACAGAAGTGTATAAATGGTCAATTTGGAATATTGGTTTGATATGTAAAATGTTTATATATATATATAAGGTATTACTTAAAGTTCTTTGATTTTCCTTGTTTTTGTCATGATATATTTATAAAACATGTTCTGGCAGTGGAAACGTACTAATATTCTAGATATTATCATTTCATGCATGATTTCAACATACTACCACACCACTCACATTTGACCCAGTGTCATTTAATATAAAGGTGCCTTGTGCAGATGTTGGAAATTTGATTCTGTATAATTATATTTTTATGAAACAAGCAAAGTGCAATGGAAATGTGTAATTATGTATGTGTGTGTCGATGTGTGCACAAATACTTAGTGTGTGACATACCGATAACATTTAGATTGTCTGTGACTTTTGACCTTATCACATAGCTATCTCTGATCTAGAACAATGTTTGTTCTGTGATAAAAGTACAAACATCAATATTGATTGATCACTTGATTGACAGACAAACCTGTTCTGGTGTAGATTTCTCTACACACTTAACTAGTATACCCAACAGAAGAAGAATTAAGAAAGGATTAGTATATTTTGTCTGGATTTCTGTAGGTCTACAAACACCAGAGACTTGTTGTATCTGTGGAACATTCATGTATCTCTAGTTTACTCTGGTAGTGATAAGTTTGTTGTAATTATGTAGCCCTAGGGTTTACAGGTCTTGTTTGTTGAAATCCTAGCCCTAGGGTTATAAAATGTATCAATCCTATTTAGGTCAAGATTAATTATAATCTGTCTTAACAAATATCGCATCTTGAAAAAAAGTTTTATCTTCAGTTTTGATTTATTTACAATTATAGCTAGTGAAGTGAGTTTTGATTTATAATGCCTTAGTGTGTATGATTTATAAATTCTTTTAATTCAAATTAAAAATAATTTAGAAATTGATTCAAAATTTTGATTTTAAATATGTAATGGTGTGGATACTACCAATGGCGTCAGTTTATTTATGATATGAATTTTAACATTATATTCAAATGTAAATTTTTCAATTACCAGTAAATTTGAGGCCAGTTAAAGACATAATATGTATTGAGCACAAAAGCAGCTAGATCACATGATGTTAAATGCCACCAACAGTACTGGCCCAGACCTTTCCTACAACTTGATAAACATCTACCATACATGTAGATACACGATCCAGTCTCGCTACTGTTATTAAACACGTATAGATTATTCAGGTATGTTGAAAGGAACTTTAAAAAATTATGACAAGAATTTTTGTGAGTGTTATAATCAACTATATATTATATAATTGTGTGTTCACTACTAGAATTATACTTAATTATTGATGTTCAATACGTACAAAGTCTAAGAAAAATAAGACCATGCCTGTTAATAAACCCATCCAGATATATTATTGACTTTTGAAGAATAGATGTTGGCAAACTGCACATATATATATGTATATTTGATACAAGGAAGTTATTTTGTCATCATTTCCAGCGTGTCAGATGTAACATCAGTTGGACCTTCAGCGTGTCAGATGTAACATCAGTTGGACCTTCAGCGTGTCAGATGTAACATCAGTTGGACCTTCAGCTTAGGAATTATATTTCATAGATCCACACACAAATAAAGATTTGTACACAACTTCAAAAAATATTTCCCATTGGTCTTGGAGAATTAATTATTTATCTGATCCACAAGTAATTTTACTTGCTATATATGGTATCAATGAGCCATTGTGAAGCTTGATGATGACAGGTGTATGTAACACCTGGGCACACCTGGTTTCAGGCTGATTCTCCTGCCATGTGCCTGTATGTATGGCGTATACCTGTGTTAATTGCAATAAGGTCAGGTACCAGATATTGATTTTACTTTGAACAGGGTTTATATATAGTGTAATTAATCTCCGGAAGCTATACGTTCCTTGGTTAATGCCCTAACTAATTAAGATGTCAGGGGATTATCTGAACCTTATATAACAACTGATATGTTACAACCTCAATCTGCTTGTAAATGCCTGATTTTGTTAATGAGTGCTTTGTAACCAATTTTATAGGAAGGTTTAGACCTAATTAAACATTGGCATCTATCTTACTGGAAATCTGTACAGTGATTATCCTTGTTAGGTGATAGCAAGATTTTAAGAAAGCATTAAGTTTCTAATGGTAGTGATATACAATATCTGAAGGTATCTGTGAAATCTTTAAGGTTTTTCCTATTACTGTTGAATTTTCATGTCCCATCCACTTCATAATCGGGGAACTATATTGTGTTAGTTACTGTCTATAGCTCAGTCAGTAAGAACATAGGTCTACATAATGTTAAGAACATAGGTCTACATAACGTTAACTACATAACATTAAGAACATAGGCCTACATAACGTTAACTACATAACGTTAAGAACATAGGCCTACATAACGTTAACTACATAACATTAAGAACATAGGCCTACATAACATTAACTACATAACGCTGAGAACATAGACCTACATAACATTAAGAACATAGGCCTACATAATGTTAACTACATAACATTAAGAACATAGGCCTACATAACATTAAGAACATAGGCCTACATAACATTAAGAACATAGGCCTACATAACATTAAGAACATAGGCCAACATAACATTAAGAACATAGGCCTACATAACATTAAGAACATAGGCCTACATAACATTAAGAACATAGGCCTACATAACATTAAGAACATAGGCCTACATAACATTAAGAACATAGGCCTACATAACATTAACTACATAACGCTAAGAACATAGACCTACATAACATTAAGAACATAGACCTACATAACATTAAGAACATAGGCCTACATAACATTAAGAACATAGACCTACATAACGTTAAGTGAAGATCAGAGGTGTGGTTTGATGCTCAGGATTTTGTGTTTCTAACGAAGCTGATAAATGAACTGTGCTGACATGGTTGTATCCTTGGACAAGACATTTTATCCTAATTTCACTGTATGACATGCCATGGGCCTCCTGTATCTTGTTCGGAAACTGCCTCCAAATGACCCGGGATGTTCCTTTTTTCCTTCCTCTCATCATTCTGTAATAATTTCACTTACTCTGTAACAGATATAGAAATAGAACTGGGCTTTGTTATAAATATCTGTAGTTGTATGATAATAATATTCAAGTCGGGTTTTCATGTGATAATGGTAATTAATTCTTTCAGAGTGATTTGCTGTTGAACTATTTTTTCCACTGAAAAAATCCGATAAATGCTGACAATTTTGTTTGCTTTGTTGCCATTGATTCTGCAGGCTGAGGATTCAATTTTATTTCTTGAGAGTGCCTCATAATGACAATGACACTAAAGGTGTTCCAAACTTCTCCTTGGTTACTTGCTATCTATAAGTCATTAAAGAATACCTGTATTCCTTATATCTCATGTATCTTAATCTCAACCCCAGGAAGGCATTTTATCACCAAAACTTTTCATTGGTTAGCAACACAGTGAATATTGAAGGGAGAAAATGAAACAGAGCCTGCATCCACACATGTAAATGAATTTTTAAAGGACAATTTATTTTTAATTTGTTTAATTTGTATATGCATGTATGTAACACTGGAGGGCTCTTCTAGTGTACCATAGTAGTGATTTTAGAGAATTAATGAATGCTACTGGTTTGTCATGATCAAATAAGATACAGCATTTAGCAGTCTGTTATTAATGAAAACCGAAACAGATCGAGGACTGTGGAGAAGATTGGCACCACATTCCTCTTTAAGATGGAATTTCATTGACTAGGAGGGAGATCAAGGTTGGAGGTTTAGGATGTAAGTAAAAAAGATACTTTGGACTGAAAAAGGATTGAGAAAGACATTCATGTTTTTCAGATTCTGTCTTTAATTTAAAAATCTGTCTAGATTTATTGCTCATGGTTCACATTAATTTCTAGAAAACATTTTCATGCCAATCATTATATGTTCTCGACAGGAGTCCCTATAGGAGGTGTCATGGTTACATAGAAGTCTGTGTATTATGGTTGTAGACAACGCTCTGCCAACATCTGGCAGACATTATCAGCCTCCTTGATGCTCCTCTCATACATCCCACTTACAAATTATGAGTGTCTTAATTGAGGTATGGTGTATAGTACTTGAAGGTTTCAGACAAGACATAGTGCTCCTTGATAGTAGATTTGTTAATGCCTTATCATATATTTAATTACTCCTGTATGCATACATCATCTCACATTTGCCAGAATCTTTGTTTGTACAAGTAATGTAGGAAGTGTTTACGAAATGTGTCAAGTACAATGTGTCACAACGTAGCAATATATGATTTCAAAACTTCTCTTCCCACTGTCACGATTTTCATGCAAGAGATCATCATCTGATAGTCAAACTTGTAACAAAGGGTTTCAAAATGTTCAGGTTGATGAAAATTGTGGGGAAATTTCATG